ATTGGCATGTGCACACACATATGCACATACACACACATAGAACACACATGCACACAACTGTAATTTTAAAAAAAAATTAAGAGAGACAAGATGAATCCATAGTGAAGGGACAAGCAGAAGCAGGAAGAGGAAAAAGCTATCATTTACTGAACACACATTATGGATCAACCATGGTCCTGGATGTTAACCCATATTCATCATTAAAAAAAATATTAGACATATAGTCATCTGATTATACACTATTCAGTTATAATTATTCAATTTTACATTTACCATTTCTCATAAGGAACATCAAGAGAATCAGAGAGAGTGAGTCCATAATAGGGAGCGATCACATCCTGAGACAAACTGTGGGGAAGCCCTGTGTCCTCTAGATCCCCAGGGGCTGCCCTGATCACCTTTCTCCACCCACAGCGGGAACACCAGCCATTCAGCCTGCAGTGTGAGGCTGTATATGAAGCTCTGAAGATGCCCTACCAGATCCTGCCTCGGCAGCTGCCACAAAAGAAACTTCAGGTGAGTTCAAGGTCAGAGGTCTTGATCAAAGAAGGCAGGCAAAGAATGTCAGAAGCAGGGTGAGGACACGGATACAGGCTGGTCTTTCTTTGTGCAAATATTTCCTGACTTTGTAGGTGATTAACATGGTGTCTCTGCTTTGGAGTTCACAACCTAGAAGGCAATGATGTCAGCATGACACATACCAGACAGTTTATGGAAACATGTCATAGGAATACCTGAACCTAGTCCTCCTTCCTCCCTGGAAGGAGTGGTGTACAAGCTGAGGCCTGAGGAAACTGACTAGGCTGACTGTCCCAGAAAGGAAGATTCTGGGTGGAGAAAACAGCAGATGTGAAACACAAAAACAAGAGACACAGTGGATGCCTTTGATCCTAGCACTTGGGAGGCCGAGGCAGGCAGATCTCTGAGTTCGAAGCCTGGTCTGCAGAGTGAGTTCCAGGACAGCCAGAGCTCCGCAGAGAAACCCTGTCTCTCGAAAAACAAAAAGACACTTGTGCACTTCAGACTCTTCCATCTTTAAGTTTAGAATGCTGTTAGCTAAAAAATGAGAGTTAGGGGGGCTGGAGAGATGGCTCGGAGGTTAAGAGCACTGACTGCTCTCCCAGAGGTCCTGAGTTCAATTCCCAGCAACTACATGGTGGCTCACAACCATCTGTAATGAGATCTGGTGCCCTCTTCTGGCCTGCAGACATACAGGCAGACAAAACACTGTATACATTAATAAATAAATAAATCTTAAAAAAAAAAAATGAGAGTTAAGTCCAGATCCAACAGTCAGTAGCAGCCAGGGAGAAGGTAGGAAGAATTTTGGGTTCTCAGTGTCATTTGGCTTGTCCCCAGGTGGCTACAGCTGTGCAGTGGACCAAGGCAGAAGGCAGCAATGGTGTCCCATTGTGGATCATCATCCTAGCCATCCTTTTTGGCCTCTTGCTCCTAGGTCTGCTCATCTACGTCCTCTACAAGGTCAGCCACACCCTGCCCCAGCTTGGCTCCCTCCTACCAGGCTCACCTTTTACACAGTGGGATCTAAAAAGCCACTCTAGATCTGTTTTCCAGCGCAGGCCCCCATCTTGGCCCTGGCTCCTCACACCCCCACCCTGTCTTTTACTATTGGACCCTTCCTTCAGTCTGCAGCCCCCGTTTAGAAAGAAGCCTCCTGTCTCGGGATAAGTTTGCCAATATTGCAAACTGCAGATGGCAAATACATGATGGCATTTGTGCTGTCATTTCCTCGAAAACTCTGTGGCAGTGAACAACAAATCATATCCTACAGGTGGCGGCCACTGCTGGGCAATCAGATATGGCACTTGAATTGAACTTGTTTACCCTTCCTGGCTTAACTGGGAACATTGTTAAAACTCTGATAAGAGATTGCCCCATAATAAACCCCTGATTTTAGACCTCCCACATCCATTGGACCCCTCGGGGAAGTATCTGAACGTGTATTCAGAAGCCACTTTGGCAGGATGGGGAAGCTGGAAGCATGAGGTTCCTCATCCCTCTGGTTCCCTAGTAGAATGAATATGATCTCTCATTGTGCCTCCTTTCTCATCAGCTTGGCTTCTTCAAACGCTCCCTCCCGTACGGCACAGCCATGGAAAAAGCTCAGCTCAAGCCTCCAGCCACCTCAGATGCCTGAGTCCTCCTGATCCCAGACTCCTGATCCTGAAGAGCCAGTCCCTTACCTGCCAACAGGGAGGGACCAGGCACTTCCTGAAGGTGCTGAGGGCTGGGGAGAAGCTGTTCTCCCTAGCCCAGAGACATACTTGAAGGGCCAGAGCTGGGGGACAAGAAGCTGGGGATCCTTCCCCCCATGCACTGTGAAGGACCCTCGTTTACACATGCCCTCTCTTGGATGGGGGCCTCTACACATGCCCTCTCATGGATGGGGGCCTCAGGTCCAGGGACAGAAGCCCCAGCCTTCCTTCAGCCTTTACATTTTGGAGACTTTCATGAAGGCAACTTGGAGCCGTAATTAGGGAATCCAGTCATGGTTCTGTGGGCCAGGCATACCACCAGGACTTCCCGTCTGGTTCCAGACTGCAAAGACGTATCTTTGGCCTTCCCAGAGATCCAAAGGAAGCCTGCAGCTAAGAGCCTGAGACTTGGGGAGTGAGACCTGGCAGCTCCGATAGCCCCCATCCTAGAGGGCCAATAAAGAACACTAACTGTGGATGGTGCTGCAGGACCAGCTCAGGACAAATCCCAAACAAAGGTCGATGCTGGCCCAGACCCAGGTCCAGGGGAGTCAGAATGAGAATGGAGCCAGACCCAGTCTGAGGCCTGGGATTGATCTGGAGCCCAGTCTGATTTTAAGAACATATGCTCACAGACCCAGGATGGCATTTGGGTCAGCTGCAGACCTGGGTCTAGGGCCCTATTCATCCCTGACTTAGGAAAAGTCAGGAATTGCCCAGGACCCTAACCAGGCCACAGTGGCAACATATCTGGAACCTCAGCTTGGCCAAACAGGCTCACTCATTCCCCAGAGAATGGGGAGCCCCAGGCCTGCCGGACCTGGGTTCTGCCCACCAGCTGCACTGATGCTGCCCTTCCCTCCCCGCCCACCCTTTCCCTCTGCTCCAGAACCCACCCCCAACTTATTTAAACTCTGTTGCAAGTGCAATAAACCCTACCCACTGCCCCCACTGACCAAAGTTGCAGTCTGTCCTTCCACCCTACTTTCCAAACTATCCTAGACCAGAAAGCAGGGTAAAAAGGAAATGTCTGTCTCCCATGGGCCTATTCCCACTAGGAGCCAGGAGTGAGATTCCTCCAGATGATTAAAAGACAGTGAAAGGGAGCTAGGTGTGGTAACACATGCTTACAATCCCAGAATTCTGGAGATGGAGGCCAGAGAATCAGTTCAAGGTCATCCTTAGCTACACGCTGCATAATAATTTCAAGGCCTGCCTGGGCTACAAGAGACCCAAGGGAGAGAATAGAAGGGGAGAAAGGAACCAGCAGCAGTAGCGCACACCTTTGATCCCAACACCAGGAGGCAGAGGCATGCAGATCTCTGAAATGAAGGCCACCTGGTCTACAGAGTGAATTCCAAGTCAGCCAGGGTCTGAGAAAAGCCCTGTCCAAAAAAATAAAAAAGTGGGAGCTTGTCTGTTGTTCTTCATCCAGCCCCCACCAGATCCAGACTTCCCTACCACCAAGGAGCAAAGAAAAATCTCTCTCTTTAGGATTGAGAATTATGGAAGAATGCAGAGAGGTCCTGATGAAAGGTGAGGAAAGATTGTACAAAACACTCACCTGGGCTTCCCTTAAATCAGAAAAATAAAATAAAAGGAAAGCCCATTAGTTTTTTCTGTTTGTTTTGCACATTTTGTGTGACTGTGTGGGAGGGGCCACATGCCACAGCACACAGTGGAGGTCAGAAGACAGCTGGCAGGACTTGGCTTTCTTGCAAGTGAGTTTAAGAATCAAACTCAGGCAGGGCAATGGTGGCACACACCTTTAATATTAGCACTTGGGAGGCAGAGGCAGGCGGATCTCAGTTCAAGGCCAATCTAGTCTACAAAGCTAGTTCCAGGGCAGTTAGTTACACAGAGAAACCCTGTCTTGGGGAAAAGAAAAAAAGAAGAATCAAATTCAGGTCTTTCGACTTGGTGACAAGGGCCTTTAATCACAGCCTGCTTTAGGGTTATGTGTTGGAGTTACTATTGTGTGCCAGTGTAAGGGGCACTAAATACTTCATATAGATGATCTCTTAATTTTTCTTCCTGTGCATGTGTGCGCTTGTAATTGGGCATGTGAGTTTACCACACACATGAGGTCAGAAGACAATTTTGAACTTGAATGTTGGTCCTTGCCTTCCACCTTGCTTGAGGCAGGGTCTCTTGTTTACTGCTGAATACCACAGGCTAGCTGGCCTGCAGGCTTCTGGTAGTTCTGTGTCTCAGGGGTGCAATGAGATTTCAGACACAAGCTATTATACAAGTCAGGTTTTTATGTGGGCTCTAGGGATCCGAACCCAAGTTGTCGGGCTTGCACGATAAACATTTCACCCACATCTAAACTCTACCAGTCCTGTGATGGTACCATTACCTCCATTTATTCTAGGAGACACTGAGGCCCAGAGCTTATGTAACTTGCCAAGGTCACACCGCATAGCAGAACGAGTCACATTCAGTGTTGCCCGTCTGTGAAAGCCCTTATTCTTAACCAACGTGCCGGAGAGCTCAGATCTTCAAAGAGAAAGCATGCCACATGAGACAGCCCCGGGGTCCTCTTTCTCAAGGTCTGTCCTAAGTGCAGGAAGCTGAATAGGGCAAAGATGGTTGTGTCATGCTAGACCAGGATTTCACCACCAGAGGGCAGCATAGCCACAAATTTCTGGGACTTTGTGGCAGGGAGGTGTGAGACCCAACTCTCCCCTCAGCAGGGCTATTATTATTAACTCAGACTCTTACAACACCTTCAAACATTCCTCCAGGTAAGCTTCCTGAGCCACCCTCCAGTCCTATACTCACAGAGTGTCTTTCCAGAATCCACAAAGCAAGAGGACTGAGGCAGCAGAGACGTGAGGCAGAGAAGGGCCCAGTATGTCCAAGGACAGCAGGAATCCTCCAGGAGAGCCTCCTGGGAAGGTTGACACCAGTTCTAGGGACTGGGTCTGAAATGTCTCCACTGAAATGAGGAGGAAATGAAGAAGGGAAGTGGGCTAGGACTAAGGGCTGGTGTCATGGGTGTGACTGTATGGTGCCTTTGCTTCAGAAGAGGGTGACAAGATCTCCCTCTAATTAAGGAATTCCTCGGGCGCAGGCATGCCACAGATGTGATCTAGTACCCACATCGTCCCTGAGCTTATGTCTTTGACTCCCATCTGAGCTGAGCTGCCTCCTCAACCTCCCCACCCTGCAGTGAGGATGTGTCTCCCACTCTCCAGAGGAGCATGGAGGCTGTGGAGATCGGCCGCCTGACCCTCTCCTTGTCTGTGTTGGTGAAGGTGGAAAAGAGGAGGGAGGAAGTAACAGCAGCTGAAGATGGGGGGGGGGGTAAGGGGCTCAGAAGAGGCAGCTGGCAGGCGGGAAGATGATCTGGGGGTCTCAAGTTTCTTGACATCAATTAGGGCAGTCGGCCTGGACTCATTAGTAGCCTGGGGTGCAGGGCTCATCAATAATGAATTCACCCAACACAATGCTCCCCCTCCCAGCTGCCTGCAAGGTCACCCCACCCTCCAGCCATCTGCCTCCCATAGTAAGCTAAGCAACCCCTCCTCTGAGTTCTGCCTAACTCAGAGACCCTAGGGACAGTGTGGGCAGGTTGGACAAGGCCTGAAGGGCAAAGGGTGCCCTCAGATCAACCAAGACCAGTGCTGGCCCTTGTTTAGTTTGTTCTCTTCCCCAGGGGAGAAACCTGGAAGAGGAGAGGAGGGGGCTGAATCTAAGAAGCAGGCTTTCTGTTATAGAAGTGCAGTGGGATCCTGACAGGTGAGATTGCCTCTGGTGGACCCAGAGGTCCCACATCTTTCCTCAAAGCAGGATCACAGGACCCAAAGACCAAGGTGCTGGCACCCATCCTTAACTTAGCCTTGAGCTGGAGCATCTGGGTAGTTGCAAACAGCCTTTCACTTAAGGAAGGCAGACATTGCTGGGCCTCAGGACAGGAGGCAAAACTTCCGGCACCTGAATTGGCCACCAGGCCCCAACTTCCCTCCAGAAGCTGGAAATGCCCTCCTTTCCCGAATATTTCTGAATCCACTCCTACCACTCTTGACTCTGGTCTTCACCCTTGCCTCCACCCTCCCTAAACCCTGAGTGTCCCAATTCCCAGTCTCATCCCCTTTCCCTCTGGCTGGGGTTGGCCTAAAGCTGGCTGCTTGGCCTTCTGGGAACTCTGCCTGCTGCCCTCCCTCTGGCGGCAGGTACAGACAGGTTCAGGCTGCGGTAGCAGCTGCCTCTTCCCCAGATACCTCCCCGGCTCTCACACTCCAGCCTCATCCTGTTTGTCTTAGGAACACCCCATCCTCAGACGTTCCCTGCCACCAGAATCAAAGCTCTCCTTGGTGGCGAGTGTCCTGCATCTAAGCCCGGGATAGATACTCCTCCTCCCCAACTCAGTCTAGGACATCTCTAGAAGGTTGTGTCTTGCTGATTCTGACCTTCTGTCATCTTCCAAATGCCCTAGCGATCGCCACTGCAAGCTCCTATTTCTACCTCCTCAGGACCACTGATTACAGTCTGTTCACTCAGCTTCCCTAAGAATCCTGTCAGAGATCAACCTCGGATCTATCTTCAGACCCCCAACTCACCTCTGATACCCAATCCCGACGTCCTGCTCCGAAGCGGAAGAACAAACTGGGACCCAGGCATCCTCACTGCTCCCCCTGGACCCAGTGGGGCATCGCTACCCTACTCAACCTGGGTTCTGTCCCTCCCCAGAGCACTTAGAATCCTGGCCCCCTATCAACCGAGAATGCGTCTTCCCGCCCTCAGACTGAGCCCCTCGGGAACCTAGGCATTTTAGTTTCCTCCTCCATCGCCTCTCACCATCTTGTTCCCCAGACCCAGCTAAAGCCACATCCTAAAGCCCAGAGATTGGGGGGCGGCAACTGAAAGGCTGGAGGAAGTGGGAGGCAGCCAGGACGCCCCCTCGCGGAGCCCCGGGTGCTAGGGTGCCCCCTCCGGTCTTCACCTGCTGTGGGCCCCGCCCCCGCTCCGCCTCGGCCCGCCCTGCTCCTCCCCGACTCCTCCCCCCCCCCGTACCCCCAGTCCGGCCAGAACGGCCCCCGGGACAGAACGACGCGGAACCCCGGGCGCCTGGGTCCCCAGCATGATCCTCGGTGAGTGGTCTCGGCGACTCTGGGCTCCGGGTATCTGGTTCCCTCTCACTGGGTCACCTCCCCCCCCACTCGGCACCGCGGTGACTGCGGCCGCCGGTCTGCCACTCGTTCCCCCTCCCCCCTCATCTGGCTGCACATCTGGGGTCCCCTCTTCCCCTCCTCCCCTAGCTGCTGCTTCTCCTGGTAATCTAGGGAGGGGCAAAGGAAAGCCGAGAAAGTGAGACCCCCGCCCCATAATGAGAACATTGCGTATTCATGAGGCTCATGAATATTATAAGACAGTGTACGAGAGACTGGGGAGGGGGCTGGTCCTGGCCTGGTGGAGTTGAGGTAAAGGTTCTGACCCGTCACCCCCAGCGCCTTCCCCCACCCTTGGCTTTGGCACTCCGACAGCCTTCTGGGCCCAGGATAAGAAGGAAAGGAGGAAGTGGGGGGCGGAGGGAGAAGATGCTGGGTGTAGCTTCGAGGTGAGTGTGGTGGGAGGTGGGAACATGACGGGTGAAGATAAGGGGGCTGGGTGAGAGAGCGGGTGGGAAACTGTCCATCCCAGGCTCTTGCGGCTTAGATCCTGTCTCCGCAGCCATCCTGCCCCGACACGCCGGGACCTGCCCCTCTTTCCCTGCGCCGGCTGCCTGGGCCCTTCTCCCCCTCTTCCTCCCTTCCACCCCAGACCTGGGTCGGGGGCTGCAGGAGACCGAGGGACGAAGGAAAGTCAGAGTGGGGGAAGGGAAGTCCCGCTGGGCTCTGACAGCCAGTCCGTCAGCCTTGGCCACCCCATCTTCATGACCTACATCGGGAAGGGAGCCCCAGGGATGGGGGAGGAGAGGGCCTAGCTGTACTCCGGGCTCTGCAGCAGCCCCTGCCCACAACCCTGCAGCCACGGCAGCGCAGGGCCTGCTCTGACCTCTGACCTCCACCCTGGCTAGGCCGGTTCCAGGGCCCTGTTTACGGCGGAGCCCCCCACCACTCTCAGACACCTGTGGTCTCCCTGCCCCCACCGAGGACACCTGGCTCTAAGCTGATGCCGGAGGGCTGCGCTATCCCTGGCTCTCATCCCTCTCCCAAGGCCCTCTTCCTGTCTCTTCCTTTCCGTTGACTGTGTCCCCCCACTAACTTCACGAGGGCCTTTTCCCACTCTGCCCTCCTTCCTCCATCTAGCTGCTGTGTGGTCTCATTCTCTCTCATGACTTCTATACCTTACCCCCTCCAACTGGCCATCCATCACAGCTATTTAAATGAGTGAGAGAACCAAGGCATGCATGTCTGTCACCGACCAGTCTCCAAGGCTGTCTCTAGCAGGTGCCCTGCCCTTCTGTGAATACTGTCCCAACTCCAGAGGACACCCCAACACAGTTCAAGCTCAGGACCCTAACACACAGGCTCCACATTCTGCCAGCCTGTGTGATCCCTGTGTTCTAGCTGTACCCTGGGCCAGCTGAAGAGGTGGCATCCTGCTTGCCCAGAACAGGCGAGACTAAGCCTTGTTTGCCCTAGTCCAGAGGCCCAGGAGAACTAGGTGTCAGGGACCTGGAAGAGCCCTGCCAACATCCTGCCACAAGAAGACTGAGTCCAAATTCTCTGACATTGGACCCTGCCACCAACTGGCCTCCACCATCTCCCTGGAGGACGCTATAATTAACTCCTTCCTGGTGCCAAGTCCACAGAGGGGTGGGAGCCTAGTAATGCACCACACACCTTAGCCTCCCTCCCCCCATTACATCCCAACCTGCTTTAAAGAAGGAGAGAGTGGAGAAACCGCTTGCCAGGACTCAAGACCCACCTTTAGAACCATGCTAGGGTATTTGGGTCTGAATGATAAGCTCCCTGAGTCCTTTACAAGGCATCCCTACCCAGCTCATCTGAATGTGGTGGTTTGGGCCTATAATCCCAGCAGACTGAGGGAAGAGAGAGGTTATTGGGAGTTGAGGACAGCCTGGGCTAAAGAGTGAGAACCTGCCTCAAAACAAAATTAAAACACACATAAGAATCAGGGCACTGGTGGCACACGCCTTTAATCCCAGCACTTAGCTGGGGGCTGGGGGTGGGTAGAGACAGGTGAATCTCAGTAAATTCGAGGCCAGCCTGGTCTTCGGAGTGAGTTCCAGGACAGCCAGAGCTAGTCTTGGAAAAAAAAAAAAAATCTGGATGTCAAAGTTCAAGATGGCAGTTCCGAGTTCAGATTCTCTGGGCTGCCACTTTCCTTTGCAAATAAGTCCCTGGTTTAGTGAGGGGCAGGAACCTGGAGAGGGAAGGAGGCTCTTCTGTTCAGGTTAGGAAGATTTCCCAAAGGTCTGCAGTCAGCACCTCCCATCCTAGGCACCACCTCCCTCAAGGTCCCACCCCCACCCACATATACCCTGAGGTTATTAGGGCTGGTGTTTTTAGTTGTGCATAATCATCCCCTTGTCTCTTTCATCTCTGACTTCAAAGCCTTTCCAGCCCTCAGCCTGTCTTCTGCCGGGATGAAGGAATTGAGGCAGAGGGGACAGATTCATTGGACTTGACCAAAAGGATAAGATACAAGAGTTCAATACTTCCCCTGCTAGCCTGACCCTGATTTTAGGCATTTCTGGGAAAGAAACTAAAAGGCCACAAGGAGAAGAGGTAGTTAAAGATGAAATCCCAATTTCTCCTTTGGCCTCAGAGGCTGATTCCCATCTTAGCCCCATGTTGTGCCTTTCACCACCATGGGGCCCTAATCACCCACGGTCCTAACCCCAAAACCTCTCTGATTTCAGTGGCACCCTTGTGAGACAGCCACTAAATCACAGCCCTACCCTAAAACCTTCCCTGATCCTGCCCTACCCAGATGGGCCACTCCCAGAGACAGCTCAGCTCATGCCAGACTCACCCGGACTGTTCCCATTCTCTACACCAGACCTGCCCAGCCCACCCAAGAAAGCCCAGGAGCCATGGCTCAGGACCTGGCCAGACCTTTTAGGGGAAAAGGGGAAAGAGCAGCCCTCACTGAGATGCAGGAAGCTGGGTACAACAAGCAAAGTCCCCAGGACTGAACAGCGTTTGGGGATGGACAGATGGATGCCGCCCAAGGGTCTGCAAGCTTGTCCCTCTATAGTGCCTTGGAAGCTGTCTTGAATAGAACATGTAACAATCCCCCATGGAGCGGGGTGGGGCTATGTCTGCTGGAGGTAATTACACTAATAAGCTTCCCTCCAGAGTAGCCTGCCCCAGCCCGACCCTAACTCCTCCCAACCCTGCCTAACCTGGGTGCCACACACGCATACACATGCACACAATTTGCTCTCCTTCTCTTCCTCTAACCTTCCTGCAGCCCTCACCTCCCACATGACAAAAGCCTTGGACTTGTTCCTTTTCCCCCCCAGCCTTCCTCCTCCTCCTTCGTCTTCCTTTTCTTCTCCAGTCTACTCAGAAAAGCATAATATTTGAAAACCATACTGGGAGGCGAAACTTGTTCAAATTCCCCACTTGCTGTGTGACCTTGGTCTACTAACACCCCCTATCTGAACCAACTGTCATCATTTATCATAAAAGAATTCATTTATTCAGCAAACATTATTGAGTGCTCAGTATGTCGTGCCAGCACTTTACACAGACTCGTTCAATCTTGTCATCAACTCTCAGAGGCAGGTACTGTTGTTCTAGTTTGACAGATGAGAAATGAGAGTGAGCCAGTCAGAGACCAGCTACTACTCACCCAGTTAGCACAGTGAAACCATCTCATGAGAAAGTGTGTATATGAGGCCCGGTCAATGAATAAGCCTCGGGGGGCTGGAGAGCCGGCTTGGCAGTTAACAGTACTTGCTGCTCTTGCAGAGGACTTGAGTTGGGTTTCAGTACCTACGTGGTGGTCCACAGCCAACAGTTAACTCCAGTTCCAGGGGATCAAGCACCCTCTTCTGGCCTCTGAGGGTGCCAGGTACACACACAGTGCACTTTGATACATGCAGGCAAAACAGTCATACACATAAAAATAAAAATAAGTAATTTTTTAAATTGCCAGTTGTGGTAGTGTAAACCTTAAATCCCAGCACTGGGAAGGCAGAGGCAGGAAGATCTCTGTGAGTTGGAGGGCCAGCCTGGTCTGTGTATCTGCATAGCAGGAGCCAGGACAGCCTTTGAGAGAGAGAGAGAGAGAGAGAGAGAGAGAGAGAGAGAGAGAGAGAGAGAGAAGATAAACTGGGCAGTGGTGGTGCACGCCTTTAACCCAGCACTCCAGAGGCAGAGGTAGGCAGGTCTCTGTGAATTCGAAACCAGACTGATCTACAGAGTGAGTTCCAGGACAGCCAGGGTTACACAGAGAAACCCTGCCTCAAAAAAAACAAAGACAAAAAAAAAAGAAAGAAAGAAAAGAATAAGCTTGAAAAAGTGGCAACTATTTTTCTTAGAAAAGGGTAGATGTACCTGAGCCTCGAAACCAAGAACCATGGAGCTTTTTTAGAGTAGGAGGGCAGTGGGGTGCCAGAAATTGAACCCAGAGCCTCCCACAGGCTAGGCAAGTGCTCTCTCTACCACCGAGCCTCAGCCCCAGAGCCCTGTTTGTGCTCACCCAATTCTTAAGCTGCCATCTGCCCCTCTCCCACCTCAGGTTTCAGAGCCATGAGAGCCTGGGGACAGCCCCTCACTAGCTGCCCACCTCTCTTCCTCCCCTCACCCCGCCCTCAGCTCACCCCTTGTCCTACTTCCCACCCCAGCCCTGTTCCACATCAGTTCCAGGCCACAGGGAGCTGAGTGGCTTCTGTCTCTTCTCCTCCATCTCTCCTCCTCTAAAGCTAAATGAGGACTCCACACCCAGGAAAGGCAAGGAATTGCTTTCCCCATTCTCTGC